TGGATACCTGCGGCCAGCATTCCAACCAGTCCCGGCTTGATCTCCGATCCCTCCACCAAACGAGGAACCGCCCACATTTCCAGCCCCAGAACCAGCCGACTGGTTCGGGCCACGAGTTGCACTCCTCCGCAACTCGCCTGCACTTTGCGGTCCACCTCCATACGCTTGAGGACCTCCAGGCGCTTGAGGAGCTCCAGGAACTTGGCCAACTCCCGACACACCACCACTTCCAATCTGCTGACGCCCTCCAGGTAGCTGAAAACCTTGTGGAACTTGAGGAACGCCAGGTAGCTGAGGACCATGTGGACCACGTGGACCTCCCGAAACGCCAGGTAGCTGAGGAGCTTGTAGACCTCCCGAACCACCATGTAGCTGAGGCCCTGGTAGACCTCCTGAAACGCCTGGTAGCTGAGGACCTTGTAGACCTCCCGAACCACCATGTAGCTGATGGTAGACCTCCCGAAACGCCTGGTAGCTGAGGACCATGTGGACCTCCCGAACCACCAGGAAGAGGACCATGTAGACCTCCCTTGGTGTAGTGGAGGACCTTGTACACCTCCCGAAACGCCTGGTAGCTGAGGACCATGTGGACCTCCCGAACCACCAAGTAGCTGAAAACCGAGGAACGCCAGCTCCAGAAAGACCACCTTGTGCTCGAGATGTCCCGTGAAGTGAGCTACCCCCTACCTGAGGTACTCCGTGAAGTGGATCATCCCCTGGCACCTGAGGACCTCCTGGAACTCGACCAACTCCCTGCTCGGCCTCGCCCCCAGACTGTCTCCCAAAACCAGCATTCATCAGCTCTTGTACCTGTCGTCGCAAAGCCACCACCTCGGTCTGAACCTGGTCTCTGCGATCCCTCATGTACTGTCCCAGCTGACGTTGCACGTCAACCCGAATTTCTGAAGACCCCGTAGACCCTTGCGACGCTTGTTCTCCATGAAGTAGAGGTCCACGAGAAGGCCAACTGTTCATTCTCTCCACCGCCCTCTGGTCAAACAACGCGGAGTGACCCCCACCTTCCACGTGCTGGGTCATCACCCGGAGCTCTTCCGGCGGGGAGAAATTCCAAGGCGATTGCCTGGCTGCCGACTGCGGTGTTGCTGCTACGGCTGCTGCTCTGCTGCTGTGGCTGCGGGGCGTTCCCGGGGCCTGATTGGGTGTTTGTCCTAAGGACCCTAACATCCTATCCCCTAAACCACCACCACCAGTCGTCGTCGCTCGCAGAAAGTCTGTCAGCCTTGTCATCCATCCATATGCGCCCGTTCCAGTCTGGACATACCTCATCTCCAGTCCGGCTGTACGCGACGCAGCTGTCGGCGAACCAGCATTCGCAGTGCCTTCCATGGCGGTCTGCACCATCTGCACTGCACCAAATCCTTCGGCTGCCACTGCAGTCTCCAAGCCACCATTGCTGGACTCCAAAACCCTAGGTTGCTCCACCACTGGCCAGTTGTCATTGCCCAGGTCCATTTCCAGGCCACCAGTAACACCAGGGTCTCCACTGCCCAGCACACCACTATTTGTCTGCCCATCGGCAACAGCAGGTGTACTCAGGTCTCCACCCTGAACCGGTCCCACAACAACTGCACCAGTCCCAATTGCACCAGCACCATCTGTACCAACACCAACTGTCAAAGATCCGTAGTTCGGCCCAGCTGTCTCACCAACCAGCGTAGGGGAACTCAATAATCCAGCGGTTGCGCCCAGGCCGCTTGGGCTCATAACCTCAAGAGCACGGGGCTCTTGAGGTCCAGCAAACGACATGGCAGCTTGGCTTGTCTGTGGCTCGGCTTGTACTCCTTGTACGAACACAACAAGGGCAGCGGCTGCACCACCAGAGGCTCACTTTTCCTCACACTGCAGCTCCGAAGTCCATTGGCCAGTCAGCGGTCCTACCTCTACCACCAAGGCGACCACACGACCACAACGGAACACAACATGCGACCTGCTGCCTGCATGTCTTGTGCTGCAACTGCTTCTTGTTCCGACTTTGCCTACGGCATGTCCTGGAACCAACATGGCCAAAGCCACAGGGTGCGTCTCATTCCACACCTTTCATCATAGGGTTTAGGGTTTAGGGTTTAGGGTTTAGGGTTTAGGGTTTAGGGTCTAGGGTTTAGGGTTTAGGGTTTAGGGTTTAGGGTTTAGGGTTTAGGGTTTAGAGCTTCGGGCTTAGGACTTAGGACTTAGGGTTTAGGTAGGATTTAGGGCTTAGGGCTTAGGGCTTAGGGTTTAGGGTTTAGGGTTTAGGGCTTAGGGCTTAGGGCTTAGGGCTTAGGGCTTAGGGCTTAGGGCTTAGGGTTTAGGGTTTAGGGCTTAGGGTTTAGGGTTTGGGGTTGGGGGTTTAGGGTTTAGGGTTTAGGGTTCAGGGTTCAGGGTTTAGGGTTTAGGGTTTATTCATAATACCTGTGGGGGGAAGGGGGGGGAAGAGCCGCCTCCTTCTTTTGGACTGCACTGATGCCGATGATGTACGGAAGCCGAGGAATGCCAACCCACTGCGCCTGCTAAATCCCAAACCCCAACCCCAAACCCTAAACCCTAAACCCTAAACCCTAAACCTTAAACCCCAAGGTTGCATGAGGCACTTTGACAAAGCGCACACGCGCTTCCCGACTTCGATATTGCTGGAAGAGCACGTGCCAAGCACCTCCCTCATCTCAATAAGCCGCAGAGGTCGCAGGAAATGATATCTAAACAATGCCTGCGCTCAGTTCGCTCTCCAGGCATCTCTTAGCGGTTGCCCGAAGGCAGTGACACAGTCAAATAGAAGCGGCTTGCTGGAAGGAGTTTTTGCATTGTCGCTGCAATTCGGTTCACGGCGGGGAGCAGTTTTGGGAAGGAAGCTGGTCTTTGGGTGTGTAATACATGTATGATATGTGTGTAGAAAGTATGATAGATACATACATACATATGCAATTATGAACATGTGAGATACTATATAGTGTAATATGTGTCAAAAATACGTATAGAATGGGGCTTGCAGATGTCTTGTTACCTGATGCTCGATCAAAACACGTTGCGTCGTGAGCCGCATCGCCGCCAGAAGGACGCAAACGGCCTCATTGGCCAAGCCGAACTGCACGTTCTGGTTGGGTAGCGGGGTGGTCTGTTGACCAACCGAAACCAGCTGAGCTTGGTCCAAGATGTTTGTCGCCTGAACTGTGTGAGGAGGACATGCATAGCTTCGCGTCGACGCCCGGCAGGCCGAGACGACGCTCCCCAGGCTTAAATGCCCAGAAGTGAGTAGGATCGGCTCACATGGATGCAGAAAGGCAAGTCTCGAGCTTGTGCTACGAGCTACAGCATATACCTATCCTGCACCTGGCGTTGCTTCTTGGCTTTTCGTATTTCGGGGTGCGTAGGGTGCTAAGCACGCTGGTCGAACCCCAAACACTAAATAGGCACCGATCCTGTGCTCCCGTCCTAGCTGGAGGAGGCCAAAGTCCAGTCGCAGTGGGTCGCCGTGACTCTTCACAACGTATGATACAACATACCCATCCTGTGGCAACTTGATTTGCGGCAAAAATGACATAAAGCGTCACTTCGTGGAATTCCTTATCAGCAACCCAGAATCTTGGACCACACTCGGCGTCATGTGGTCTGTGACAACCGAAAAAAATGCGAGCTTGGTCCAAGACTTTTGTCACCTGAACTGTGAGGAGGACACACATAGCTTCGCGTCGACGCCCTTCAGGCCGAGACGACGCTCCCCAGGCTTAAATGCCCAGAAGTGGGTCCTGGTGTTAGACAAGGTCAGTGGCAGTCAATGATGCGGGGGACATCGGGAGCTTGCCTCGCTCTGGAAGATCATGATCCCGTTTGGACCTGAGAATCTTCCTACAAAAGGGGGAAGTTCTTGAGCCCAGGGAAGGGCAAAATTCCCGAGGGCCTGCCCAGTTCCCGCTGGTCGCAGCAGAACATCCATCATTGATGAGATGTGCCGAGGCGGGGCTGCATGTCGCAATGCTGGACCCAAGACATCAGGAACTACAAGCCCAAGACATCAGGAGCTACTATTTGCTTTAAGAACCCCCCCCAAAAAAAAACACAAACAACAATCCCGAAACTACCCTAACCCTAAACCCTAAACCCTAAACCCTAAACCCTAAACCCTAAACCCTAAACCCTAAACCCAGAAGGAAGAGTATCTTTTTCTTCTGTTGGGGGGTTCTTAAGCAACTCGTAGTGAATTGAGTGGCCTGCACTCCGTGGCCTCTGCTTGAGTAGCTGGACAGGAGCATGCAAGCTCGGTTTAGGGATTAGGGTTTAGGGTTTAGGGTTTAGGGTTTAGGGGTTTAGGGGTTTAGGGGTTTAGGGGTTTAGGGGTTTAGGGTTTAGGGTTTAGGGTTTAGGGTTCAGGGGTTAGGGGTTAGGGGTTAGGGGTTAGGGGTTTAGGGTTTAGGGGTTAGGGTTTAGGGTTTAGGGTTTAGGGGTTAGGGGTTTAGGGGTTAGGGGTTAGGGCTTAGGGCTTAGGGTTTAGGGTTTAGGGTTTAGGGTCTAGGGTTTCGAGTCTAGGGTTTAGGGTTTAGAGTTTAGGGTTTAGGGCTTAGGGACAAGTAGATGCAGAAGGCAAGTCTCGAGCCCGTCCTACGAGCTACACCATATGTGGTGTGTCCCAAAAGTTTGGTTTGCCCGTTATGCCCTCAAATAGCACAGAGTCCCCTTAAGGGGACACCCAAAAGGGGTACGAAACCCCCATATTCCTATCCTGCACCTGGCGATATTTATTGGCTTTTCAGGGTGCCAAGCACTTTGGATAACCGTACCCTTTTTTTGCTTAAAGGTGTTTATAAGGGAACCTAAACCCCCAAAAAAGGGGAATAAGGGCACTACTGGGCATCCTGGACTATACAGGCACCGACCCTGTGCTCCCGTCCTAGATGCAGGAGGCCCAAAGTGCAGTCGCCGTGGGTCGCCGATGATACAACAGACCCATCTTGTGGCAACTTGATTTTCGCGGGAAAAATGACAATAAGCGTCTGTCTGCGATGCCCTTTCTACAAGTCCAAAGATAAGACCCCTGAATGTTGGTGCAGCAGCCGAGGCGGAGGCATGTTCGACTTCAGTCGGTTCACTTCGGCGTCGATGTGAGGAGGAAGTTCATGCATGCACGAGTGAACGAGCTGCATGAAGGAATACTTCTTCCACTGCCGGAGGTGCCTGGACAAAAACACAGCCTAAAGGCCGTAACGTAAGGCCAACTCATCACAGATTGGTAGGGTTTTTCCGGGTTCTGGGTCTAGCATGACCTGAAACCCTCAAAAACCACCAGCATCCGACTTGCCGGGGGGGACGGGGATGAGTGCCCACCCCTGATCGAACTGCGTTCCAACTCACGCGCGAAGCACAAAAACAATTCAACCAACAGCAAGTAAAGCTCGCCCAAAGCATCGTTCAAAACCACAAGACGGGGGCGATCTAAAACCGAACATATGTGCCCCTTTGGAAATACACGACCCACAACCTCCACATGCAACCTCAACCTCTGGCCCATGATGGGGAAGTGAATCCCACGTCAAGCAACCTAACCTAAGTTGCCATAGTAAGGAAACCCAGAAACTCTATATATATATATATATATATATATATATATATATATACATACATATGCAGGTTGCGATAGCTTGATGTGAGTTCTCCAGCAGCAACCCAGAACAGCGTTTGCTTTTTGGCTTAGGGTCGTGCACGACCAGCAACACTTAACAACTCCTCAACTCAAAAAACAAGCCCTAAAGCCTGAACCCTGAACCCCGAAGCCTAAACCCTAATCCCTAATCTCTAAACCCTAAACCCTAAACCCTAAACCCTAAACCCTAAACCCTAAACCCTAAACCCTAAACCCTAAGCCTTGTGGGAAGCGTTGGCGGACGTGGCTCCTGCAGCTCTGCCTTCCCCAGGGGTCCGGGTTGCCGGGCTTAGGGCACAGGGCGTGCAGGGGCGTTCGGGGTCTTAGGGTTTAGGGTTTAGGGTTAAGGGTTGAGGGTTCATGGTTTAGGGTCTAGGGTCTAGGGCTTAGGGTTCAGGTCTTTCAAGCTATTGACCTACAGCTTGTCGAACTTCACCCCCGAACCCCCCCACCAAAACCCCAGCGACCAGACGTCCTTTGGCCCCAAGGCAGATGTCGCATCACGAAAGCTTTCACGGAAGCCCCCAAGAAGCTGCAGAAAAGCTCATACGTTGGAGGGTGAAAACGTTTGAAAAGGAACACTAAGCTGAACCAAAGCCACCAAAAACAATAACATGGTTTTGGCTTCTGTTGGCATGGTCTTCCAAGGTTAGGGCTTAGGGTTTAGGGTTCTTGGATGGTGCTGCTCCTTGCTGAGTCATGACCAGATTTGGCCACTCTCTTTTCAACTCCGGACATCTCATGGGGCAGCACTGAACCCGGAACCCGAAGGGCACCCGAAAAAAACTCGCCTCGGCTTCCTGCCGAGAAGCGTTTGGAACAATCAGACACGGATCCGGTCTCCTTCCCTTTAATTCAATGATTCCCGAATTTTGTGACGCACCCCCCCCCCCCCCCGCCCTGTGCCATCGCTTGGAGGAGCTGCCAACCGATGCCTGTCGGCGGCTCGTAGAGAGGGCGCTCCAAAATGCGCGAGTTTGGCTGTTGTGGCGACCCCCCCCTGTGCAACCCTCCCTGCCCCCCTGGGATCCCCCCCCCCCAAAAAACAAAAAAAGTTTGAATTTCTGGAACCCTTTTCTGGACCCCCCTCCCTTTTTTGAGGCCCTCTTTCCTCCGGCTGCCGAGGCGGCGCGCGCAAGGGCTTACAATGAACCTACAACCCAACGAAGAAGAAGTTTCAAAAACAAGCAACTCCCCCCCCCCCCCCCCCAAAAAAAAAGGGATCCAAAAAAGGACACCACCCGCCCCAGATTGCCTTGAGGAGTTCGAGGAGATGCGATACCACCGGGAGTAGTCCTGTCATTTCCGCCTTCCGGAGGATGTAGGGTAGGTAGCTGGCCAGCAGCACCTGGCATTCTTGCGGGTCTAGAGCTTCGGGGCGTAGGAAGCCACATGGCCGGCTTCAGACAGACGACTCAAAAGGCTGAAGAGCAAAAAAAAAGCAGGAACAGAGAGAGAGAGAGAGAGAGAAAAAAAAAAAAACAAGCAGAGAGGAGAGAAAGAAAGCAGAAGAAATGTATAGAAGAAACCAGAGAAGATAGAAAAGACACGAAGCAATCATACCAGCGTAGACCCGAAACACTGAGAGACCGTGTGGAAACGCAAGAGCATTCCAAGGGTCCTCCAAACATACACCAAGAGCACTCTAAATTCCATTGGCACTCGAAGAACATCCCTCAGAGAACTCCAAAGAATCCGACGTGCTCACCGAAAACACGTCAACTTACTGGCCCAAAACCCAAAAAAATAAGAGTTGAAACGAGCAGAATCAACTACCTCATAAGAAGCCCAAAAGTTGAAAAAAATGGTTTTGAGCCAGTAAGTCAAGGAAGACGTTTCATGGGGACTCAACGGGGACGCGAAAGAGCGACTTGGAGCCACTGGTGCTCGAAACACACTACGTTTGTACTGCGTTTGTACTACGCTTGTACTACAAGGAGCCCTAGACGTCCTTTAGGGCTTAGGGTTTGGGGTTTAGGGTTTAGGGTTTGGGGTTTGGGGTTTAGGGTTTAGGGTTTAGGGTTCAGGGTTTAGGGTTTAGGGTTTAGGGTTTAGGGTTTAGGGTTTAGGGTTTAGACATTTCGCATTTGGCGAACCCACCCTGACGTTTAACAGCGACGACAGTTAGTTACGACCATGGCGACGTCGATGCGCCTAGGCGACAGCGCGATTTGCAACATCGCGAAGCGCAAGTCCCCCGAAAGTCTGGTCGCACACAGCGAACCCATCCAATGGCCGAAAATGCAGGACTCCACGCGCATGCCACGTTTCCCAGACGCTTAGCGATGCACGCTTCGAAAACACACGGACCTAGGCGGAGAGCACGACTTCCGGCTGTGAACACCATGCGCACGGGGCCGAGGCGAAAGTGCGATTCTACCACATCCACGAAACCAAAAGCATGTAACTTGCAATGTTTCGGAACCCCAAAAAAATCGGGGAAGGCACCCTTGTTACTCTTGACGTAAGAAGCCCCAGCTGCCTAGCTTTTGGCACACTGTTTGGACAATAAACAGAGCAAGAAGATGTAGGGATAAAGAGAAGGAGAAAACGCCATAAAGAAACAAAGGGATGTAGACAGGATGAAACAAAGCACGAAAAACATGGCAACAAAGACCACGGAATGACGAAAGAAATCACTGAAGAGAAGAACCCAGATATCAACACACATGATAAAATAAGAACGAAATTCACAAATAGCGAAACAACGTAATGAAGAAATACGCGAAACAGTAAATAAAGAACGAAGAGCAACGAAACATGAAACAAAGAAACAGGGAGACAGAGACCGCGAGAGAGAGAGAGAGAGAGAGAGAGAGAGACAGACACACAGACACAGACACACACACACACACACACACACCCACACACTGATGCATTGGTGACTGTGTGGAGCACAACCTTTCATGTCATGATGATGAGATGAGATTTTTGTACCGTGTATACAGTGTATGCCAGACCACAGGAATGGCATACAAACACAAGATGAGATGATCCGTAAGGGGTATGGTTTCGGCTCCTTGCTACGCCAGACACAAAGGAATAACGTAGCACGAAATGAGATGAAGATGCAAGTGACATGATGCCTCACCAGCTGGCCACGCCGGACCCCGGGTGCGGGCAAGCAGGTACGCTTTCCTGGGGTGCAGGGGACGGCTTCATTGGGCGGAGCTCCCCTGCTCCGTCCCCCTGCTATGGCAGTGATGCCTTTCCAGGATGAACAACCTGTTTCCACACACACACACAATGCCCTCAGAGAGGGCTAAGCTTCGGATCTACTGACAATCTAGTGATCACAGAAGCAGACAACGGTGCACATGCCCTGGCGCTCGCACTGCCTAAAACCTGCTTGACAACCCCCATGGAAAACGAGACAAAGGTTTAAAGTGAGCCACCACTTGGTTTTGAGTGGATGTGGGTCCTGTCCACAAAGTGGTGGATAAGGGTCCAGTCCACCTCTTGGAAAACGAAAAATGTGGCAGGTAGTTTGAGGCGAGAGGGGGGAGGGGGTGTGCGCCTGCCCACGCCCCGACAACCTGACAAAACACGACCTCAGGCGGGAACATACATCAGCTCGACACCCGTCTCTCGGAGACATCGGATCAAAACCAAGAGAGATTGAATCGGGAGGAAAACCCTTGGCTCGCACGGACCGTCACATCCTAAAAGCTCTTACCTCCAACCGGAGGCTCGGCTACCTGCCGCTGGCGGGCGCCCAGGAGGGAAAAGCCCAACCGAAGTCACACAGTGATGCATTGGTGACTGTGTGGAGCACAACCTTTCATGTCATGATGATGAGATGAGATTTTTGTACCGTGTATACAGTGTATGCCAGACCACAGGAATGGCATACAAACACAAGATGAGTTGATCCGTAAGGGGCATGATTTCGGCCCCTTGCTACGCCAGACACAAAGGAATAACATAGCACGAAATGAGATGAAGATGCAAGTGACATGATGCCTCACCAGCTGGCCACGCCGGACCCCGGGTGCGGGCAAGCAGGTGCGTTTTCCTGGGGTGCAGGGGACAGCTTCATTGGACGGAGCTCCCCTGCACCCCCTCCGTCCCCCTGCTATGGCAGCGATGCCTTTCCAGCATGAACAACCTGTTTCAACACACACACACACACACACAGAGACAAACAAAGACAAATACAAATACAAACAAACACACCAGCATCGTGAGAACTTAGGGCAAGCAACTTAAAACCCCATCAAGGTCACGGGCATGTCAATCTCAGGTGAGGGCAGGGGCGGCAGCGGGGGTGAAGTTGAGAGATCTTAAGTAGTTGCTAAAGGAGCACCCTAAACCCTTGGCGTCTCTAAGAAGCCTTTTCTCAGGGTCTTCCGTGCCTGGTCGCTGGTCTGCGCCCGGATCTGCCGCAATCGCCTGTCTGCCCTGGACAGGGTTTAGGGTTTAGGGTTTAGGGTTCAGGGTTCAGGGTTTAGGGTTTAGGGTTTAGGGTTCAGGGTTCAGGGTTTAGGGTTTAGGGTTTAGGGTTTAGGGTTTAGGGTTTAGGGCCTAGGGTTTAGGGTTCTGGGTTCAGAGTTTAGGGTTTAGGGTTTAGGGTTCAGCATCTCAAGTCCAAGCATTTCACTAGTAGAGCTCCTTACTCCGGTATCGAATATCGACCTAAACCCTAAAGCCAGCCCAGAGTAGGCCTTAAACCCTAAAACCAGCCCCGAGTAGGCCCTAAACCCTAAAGCCAGCCCAGACTAGGCCCGAAACCCTAAAGCCAGCCCCGAGTAGGCCCTAAACCCTAAAGCCAGCCCAGAGTAGGCCGTAAACCCTAAAGCCAGGTCCGAGTACGTAGGCCCTAAACCCTAAAGCCAGGCCCTAAACCCTAAAGGCAGCCCAGAGTGGGGCCTAAACCCTAAAGCCAGCCCAGAGTAGGCCTCAAACGCTAAAACCAGCCCTGATGGCCATGCCTGCCCCACCCCACCCCACCCTTGATCATCCTCTTCTTGTCCGGGAACTTTTGGTGTTTGTCCGGGAATTGTTGGTGCTCGTCCGGGAATTGTTGGTGCTTGTCCGGGAATTTTTGGTGCTTGTCCGGGAATTTTTGGTGCTTGTCCGGAAATTTTTGGTGCCTGTCCGGGAATTTTTGGTGCTTGTCCGGAAATTTTTGGTGCCTGTCCGGGAATTTTTGGTGCTTGTCCGGGAATTTTTGGTGCTTGTCCGGGAATTTTTGGTGCTTGTCCGGGAATTTTTGGTGCTTGTCCGGGAATTTTTGGTGCTTGTCCGGAAATTGTTGGTGCTTTGTCCGGGAATTGTTGGTGCTTTGTCCGGGAATTTTTGGTGCTTGTCCGGGAATTTCTGGTGCTTGTCCGGGAATTTTTGGTGGTTGGCCGTGAATTCTTGCTTGTCCGGGAAGTGTTGGTGCTTGTCCGGGAATTTTTTGTGCTTGTCCGGGAATTTTTGGTGCTTGTCCGGGAATGTTTGGTGCTTGTCCGGGAATTTTTGGTGCTTGTCCGGGAAATTTTGGTGGAAAACCGCGAATCCATTAGCTTTTAAATATACATAGGTTAGAGAGGGTTTAGGGTTTAGGGTTTAGGGTTTAGGGTTTAGGGTTTAGGGTTTAGGGTTTAGGGTTTAGGGTTTAGGGTTTAGGGTTTAGGGTTTAGGGTTTAGGGTTTAGGGTTCGGGTTCCGGGTTCCGGGTTCCGGGTTCCGGGTTTAGGGTTCAGGGTTTAGGGTTTAGGGTTTAGGGTTTAGGGTTTAGGGTTTAGGGTTTAGGGTTTAGGGTTTAGGGTTTAGGGTTTAGGGTTTAGGGTTTAGGGTTTAGGGTTTAGGGTTTAGGGTTTAGGGTTTAGGGTTTAGGGGTAGGGTTTAGGGTTTAGGGTTTAGGGTTTAGGGTTTAGGGTTTAGGGTTTAGGGTTTAGGGTTTAGGGTTTAGGGTTTAGGGTTTAGGGTTTCAGCGTTCAGGGTGTTTTGATGATGCTCCGGCACTCGCTCTCTCCCCTTCCCCCTCCCTCCCCCTCTCCTCCCCCTCTCCTCCCCTCTCCTCCCCCTCTCCTCCCCTCTCCTCCTCCCTCCCTCGCCCCCTCCCTCGCCCCCTCCCTCCCTTGACGTAAGGATGCGCCTCACCGGCTGGTCGTCGTGCTGCATGTGGCAAAAGCGACAAGCTGCCCCGGACGGGCATGCTCCACCCTTCCTTGGCTCATCTTGGAGCAAGGTATGGCAGGGATGCACCTACTCATATTTATAGCGTTTGGGCTGTGCGTGCTCTCATCGGGGAAGTACACATACCTACCTGCATGTACCTACATGCGTGTAAAGAAGGAGCTTGCTTCTGACCAGTGGTCGAGTCTCTCACATGCTAGACTTGGTCTTAGTGGTTTCAGGGCCATTGGTTGACAGCTTGAATTGAGGGCGTGCCAATCAGCACGCCGCTAGTTTTGTGATCTGTCCACTGCAACAATGCAGACGGAGGCGAGCCCCAAGCCCTAACATGCAAAGAATGACGGCGACGGCCCGACGGCGCCAGTGAACAAAAGCGCGCAACAGCACAAACAGCGGCAGCAGCCCATTCTCGGTGCCTGCAGCTTTCGTGTAGTAGGTGTCAAGCAGGGCTTGCGAACGCTCAAGACCGCCACACGATGTCAAAGCGAACATAAAACAGAAATACCACTCATGTTGAGCCATCGTTCATGTGTTCCCCCCTTCAGTGCGCAGTCGAAGCCGATTTTGGGCCCTCTTTCGACAATGCCCAACAGGGGGGGGGGGGGGCGGATTTCAGAAGGAGTCACTCCCCCCCCAGCAGCAGGGAGGGGGGCCCAGAAATTGGTTTTCTTCAAGGCGCGCAAAGGGACCCTAAACCCTAAGCCCTGAACCCTAAACCCTAAACCCTAAACCCTAAACTCTAAACCCTAAACCCTAAACCCTAAACCCTAAACCCTAAACCCTAAACCCTAAACCCTAAACCCTAAACCCTAAACCCTAAACCCTAAACCCTGCCCACCCCACGAAACCAATCCGAACAGTGGCCGAGTTCACCGTCGGCCCCCTCTGCCCCAAAACGGGCTCAACATAAATAAACCCTAAACCCTAAACCCTAAACCCTCAAGACTCTTGAAGCGGCCAGGCGTCACGATGAGCACGCAGCGCCTGGCGCAGAGGTGGGGATGGCCGTAGCTGGCGAAGTTCAAGTCCAGCAAGGTTGCCAGGTGCTGCGGCGGCTCCAAACCTCGGGCTGCCGGTGGAGGAGGGTTTTGGTGGAGGTATAGGGTTTGGGGTTTAGGGTTTAGGGTTTGGGGTTTAGGGTTTTGGGTTTAGGGTTTCGGGTTTAGGGTTTAGGGTTTAGGGTTTAGGGGTTTTGGTGGAGGTATGGGGGGGACTTGCTGGGCTCTGCTAGATGATGGCTCCTTTGGGAAATCTGTACTGTAAAGGCATTCCTTCTCGTTTAAGGAAACATGAAACAAGGCCCAAGATATCGATGAACCCCGCATCGCGATGTTTCTTCAATTTGCGGGGCGAAAAAGTGGAGAGGATAGGATTGGGGGGACCCTTAAAAACATAGACCCAGAAGTGGGTTCAGAAGGATCCCTTTGAAGGCTCCCCCTTATCCTACCTAGGAATGGGGTCTGTGCCCTTTTTGGTCAAGCCGCCCGGCGGTGGAACGAACTGGCTTGTGTGGTCAGGCGTGATTTGAGACTGCTGGTCAGCCTGAACTGCGATACTTCTTACCTCTCCTGACCCCTAAAACCCTCTGAAAGATCGTCCTGAATATGATCCTCTAGAAAACCGAAGAAGGGAAAATAGAACATGTCCCAAGGGCCTAGCTAGCTACTGGGAATGCACTGAAAGCCGGCGCAGGGTGCGCTGGTGACCGGGATTCCGAGATGCGAGGCGATGCAAGGCTGGTAGCCACGCTCATCTCGGGGCGCATGGCCATGGCTGAGACAAACGACGAAGAATTGCCCCGTGACGCTGGCTCTCAGCAATGGCTGCGGAAGGCTCATATACTTAAGGGCGTTCGGCTGCAAAGACACTTGGGGGGTTCAGGGGGCAGGCTTTAAGGATAACCTGAAAAGAAGCCCTTAAGATGCCCCCCCCCTCCCCAAATGGGCGGGGGGCAAATGAGTTTCAAGAAACCCTGCAGTTAGGGCAGCTAGGGCTACGTACCCAGACCCCTAAGTGTAGTTTCGCTCGTCTTTTTTACCTAACTTTCTCTACACACATATATATACACACATATATATATATATACATACACATATATAAAAATGTAACTCGGTAGGGTCGTTTTTGTGTGCGGTTGTCGATGTTGAGGGCTTCAGGGGTTGTGGCGGGGGGCGCCACTCACAAGGTTCATGCAGCTGCGGTTGAGGGTGTAGGGTTGAGGGTTTAGGGTTTAGGGTTTACGGTTTAGGGTTTAGGGTTTAGGGTTAAAGTTTCTCGAGCTAACTGGGTGCCTCAACAGAAGCGGGGAGCAAAGACTCTTTAAAGCCGCGCTGCAAGATTAGGCAGCTGTTGCTCCATACAGAGTCATCCCAGGGCCCCCAGGGTTGCCACTTTAAACTCAATGAGTCCCACAAGCCCTAAAGAAGCTCAAAAGGCCAGTAAGGTTGATAAGCGGTAGGAGCATGACCCTCTGAGCCCTAAACCCTCAACCCTCAACCCTGAACCCGAACCCCTAAACCCTAAACCCTAAACCCTAAACCCTAAACCCTAAACTTCCTAAACCCTCAACCCTCGAACCCCTAAACCCGCTGCCTGACAGACCCGGGTCCAGACGCTGCGCCCACAGCGTGGTGTTCTCCTAGGGCTCATGGGTAGGGAACGAGAGAGTGAGGTGCCCTATATACTCCCTTAAAGGGTATATGCTGGGAGGGAGTGAGGTTCCCCATATACTCCCTTAAAGTGTTCTTGGCAGGAGGGAATGAGGTACCCTACATACTCCCTTAAAGGGTATACATAGGGCCCTATTTCCCTCATTCCCCACGAAGAACAGGGGGAAACTTTCAGAAAATCGGAACGTCTTTTCGCACCTCCGAGCCACTCCCTCCGCCAGAAACAACCGGAACCAGAAACCCAAACACCCCAGCGTGACCCGAAACCCTGAAACCAGCCAAAACCCCAAAGCCGCAAATCCCAAAACCCAAAACCCCAAAACCCCAAAACCCCAAACACCCCAAACACCGCAAACACCCCAAACACCCCAAACACCCCAAACACCCTAAACACCCCAAACACCCCAAACACCCCAAACACCCCAAACACCCCAAACACCCCAAACACCCCAAACACCCCAACACCCCAAAACCCAAAACCCCAAAACCCCAAAACCCCAAACACCCCAAACACCCCAACACCCCAAAACCCCAAACCCCAAAACCCCAAAACCCCAAAACCAAAAACCCCAAAACCCCAAAACCCCAAAACCCCAAAACCCCAAAACCCCAAAACCCCAAAACCCCAAAACCCCAAAACCCCAAAACCCCCAAACCCCAAAACCCCAAAACCCCAAAAAACCCCAAAACCCCAAAAAAACCCAAAACCCCAAAACCCCAAAACCCCAAAACCCCAAAACCCCAAAACCCCAAAACCCCAAAACCCCAAAACCCCAAAACCCCAAAACCCCAAAAACCCCAAAACCCCAAAACCCCAAAAACCCCAAAACCCAAAACCCCAAAACCCCAAAACCCCAAAACCCCAAAACCCCAAAACCCCAAAACCCCAAAACCCCAAAACCCCAAAACCCCAAAACCTAAAACCTAAACCCTACACCCTCAACCCTAAACCCCAAAACCCAAAAACCTAAACCCCACACCCTGAACCCTAAACCCCAAAACTAGCCGAGTGTCGACCGAGGACCGACCTGAGCCCACAGAACTCCCAGCGACACTGGCCGCCTCTTGGACGGCAGGCTGGGGGTTTACCTGGTTTAGGGTTTAGGGTTTAGGGTTTAGGGTTTTAGGGTCTAGGGTTTTAGGGTTTTAGGGTTTTAGGGTTTTAGGGTTTAGGGTTTAGGGTTTAGGGTTTAGGGTTTAGGGTTTAGGGTTTAGGGTTTAGGGTTTAGGGTTTAGGGTTTAGGGTTTAGGGTTTAGGGTTTAGGGTTTAGGGTTTAGGGTTTAGGGTTTAGGGTTTAGGGTTAGGTTTAGGGTTTAGGGTTTAGGGTTTAGGGTTTAGGGTTTAGGGTTTAGGGTTTAGGGTTTAGGGTTTAGGGTTTAGGGTTTAGGGTTTAGGGTTTAGGGTTTAGGGTTTAGGGTTTAGGGTTTAGGCGTACTTATTAACCAAATATCACTGTGCTTACAACTGTACGTATAACCGTCTGGGCACGTAAGTGGCTCATAAGTGGGCTATCAGTCCAGTTATAATTGGTTCAGAAGCGCCATGAGCCACCAAGTCGGGGTTTAGGGTGCAGGGCAACAGGATAACAGGGTTTATGGTTTAGGGTTTAGGGTTTAGGATTTAGGGTTTAGGGTTTAGTGTTGAGGGTTGAGGGCTTAGGGTTGGGGATGTAGGGGTGTAGGGGCTAGCCCCTACCTAAAAACCTTTAGGTGGTATCGTTTGGGGTCAGAAGGTTTTGGGTTCTAAGCGTCTTTGGCGACTTAGAACGTAGGGCTTAGGGCTGAGGGCTTGGTTTTCGGCTTCAGGGTTCAGGGTCTGAAGTAGGATTTTGGGTTTCGCCAAAATTTGGAGCTTTGATTTGGTTCTTAGGGCTTTGTTCCGAGCTTAGCGCTGTAGGGTTACGGTCCGGGGTTTGAGGCTTCCTAAGCCCTACGCGCCTAAGCCCTCAACCCCTCAATCCCTAAACCCGAAACTGTAGTTCAAGAACCCTCAGCCCAAACTCCCCCAACCCTCAAGCCTCCAACCCTAAACCCTAAACCCTAAACCCTAAACCCTACACCCTAAACCCTAAGCCCTCGGCCTGCGACCATTCCGAGGGGTACCCTGAGGCCCAGCTGCCGCGGCTCGAGGCGCGGGACCCTGAGATCCTCGTTGGTTTAGGGTTTAGGGTTTAGGGCTTAGGGGTTTAGGGTTTAGGGTTTAGGGCTTAGGGTTTAGGGTTTAGGGCTTAGGGCTGAGGGTTTAGGGCTAAGGGTTTAGGGTTTAGGGTTTAGGGGTTGAGGGGTTTAGGGGTTGAAGGGTTTAGGGGTTGAAGGGTTTAGGGGTTTAGGGTTTAGGGGTTGACGGGTTTAATTAGGGGTTTAGGGTTTCGGGTTAAGGGTTTAGGGTCTAGGTCTTAGGGTTTAGGGGTTTAGGGTTTAGGAATGCATGGCCCAGGGTCATGGATCGCGCCGACGACGTGGAGGCGGTCGACGTCTTGCTGCTTGTCCGCGTGTGTGGAGTCCTAGGGTTGGGCCTTCAAAACCCTAAACCACTAAACCCCTAACTCTAATGGTTCTCCCCACACGATCCATAGCTAACGTAGTTTCAAAGTTTCTCCACGAAATTTTGCAACAAAACACTTTCCGAACGAAAATGACAATTTCCAACGCGATCGCAGCAACTCGTGCGCGAAAGTTAAGAAGCGTGCGCGACGCCTTCCCCTCCCCTTGGTTTTCGGACTTGCCACATGATCCATAGCTAACGTAGTTTCAACGATTTTTCACAAACAAATGCCAACAAACTTTCCGAACGAAAATGAAAATGATGGTTGTAGAAACGCGATCGCAGCAAGTCGTGCGCGAAAGCTAAGAAGCATGCGCGGCCAACCAATAGACAACCCCTAAACCCTGAACCCCTAAACCCTAAATCCCCCTAAACCCCCTAAAACCCCCTAAACCCCCTAAACCCCCTAAACCCCTAAACCCTAAACCCCCGAAACCCCCGAAACCCTCGAAACCCGAAACCCTAAACCCCCTAAACCCCCTCAAGTATCTAAATTGGCTAGGTGTTTGGGGAGTTTGGGGAGTTTAGGGAGTTTGGGGAGTTTGGGGAGTTTAGGGAGTTTGGGGTTTAGGGGTAAGACCATTTAAAGCCCAGTTGGGAAGAAGGACCGCAAAAGGTGTACTAAGGCTGCCTGGAGTCTTGTAAGGGCCACTCGGCTGCGGGCATTGCTCCTTGGAGTTTCAGGAAGCCGTGCGCTGCCGACAAAAAGCAGGGTTATGGCGTCAGGGAGTTGAGGGTTTGGGGTGTCCAGGGTTCAGGGTTCAGGGTTAAGGGTTCAGGGTTTGGGGTGTCCAGGGTTCAGGGTTCAGGGTTCAGGGTTCAGGGTTCAGGGTTCAGGGTTCAGGGTTCAGGGTTCAAAACCCTAAACCGCAACTCATAAAGTCACGCCCAGGGCGCTGCGGGAGTGTGGATGGTCACCGCGGGGATGTCCGCGAAACGGAAGTCGGGCTTCGACTTGCGCGGCTTGGACCCCATCCAGCACCTTAAGGGAGGGGGTTCATCGGGTTTAGGGTTTAGGGTTTAGGGCTTAGGGCTTAGGGCTTAGGGCTTAGGGCTTAGGGCTTAGGGCTTAGGGCTTAGGGCTTAGGGTTTAGGTTTAGAGTTTCCTATCCAGGACCTGGCTCACTGTTGGCTAGCAGGGAATGGGGGAATGAGCTACCCTGTATAATCCCTTAAAGGGTATATATATATAGGGCCCTATTTCCCTCACTCCTAAGCAACAGTATGCTGGAGGAAAGATGACGAGGAGGGCTTCAGGGTTAGGGGTTTAAGGTTTAGGGTTTTAGGGTTAGGGTTTGGGCTCAAGGTGTGCGGAATCCGGGGGCTGTGACGGCCGCTTTGCCCTGGGGGTTTGGAGCCGTCAGGGCAACTGAGGGTACACGTACTCGGAGCTTCATGGTACTTCTTCACCAGTTATATCTGTACCTATAACCCACTTACAAGCCCCTCAAGTGCGCAAATATGGGCATCAGTACAGTTGTAAGTACAGTTATAATTGGCTAACAAGTACGATGAACCTCCATGTAGGGCTTAAACAGCTTCCTGCAGCATACGACCCTTCAGTCCCTTGGGGCTTGCTTTGCCCTTTCTCCGCCTTTGTGACCTTAAGAACTGCGTCCACTGCACTGACCAATGCCACTCTCTAAAGCATCGGAAGCATCGTAGGCCCCGGGCCTTATGCCCGGTATGCAGCAGGCGAGGCATCGTGTTGTCCCTCTTAAAGCCTCGAAACCCTAAACCCTAGACCCTAGAAACCGCAACTCCAAACTCCTGGATGCCTGGTCCTCCACCACATGGGAGAAATTCCAGGATCTCCCAAAAAACAGAAGAGGCGCAAACTGTCAGAGCCTTCTCGGCCGAAGCCATCTTTAACTGACTCTAGCCCCCAAACTTAAAGCTACGCCCGATTCCCGAAACCCTAACCCTAAACCCTAAATCCTAAACCTTAAGTTCCCGGCAGGCAGATCAACGCAGTGGCCGCCCCGGCCACGAGCACGCCTCCGCATATGAGAGCGGCCACCTAGGCAGGTTGAGGGTTTGGGGTTTCGGGTTTAGGGCTTAGGGTTTAAGGTTTAGGGTTTAGGGTTTCGGGTTTAGGGTTGAGGGTTTAGGGCTTAGGGTCTAAGGTTTAGGGTTTACGGCTAGGCGTTTGGGAGTTTACTTACGAGCCTCTGACATCTCTTCCTTAGCTGAGGTTCTGTTTCAACCAAGAAACCCTCACCTGACTTCAGTGAGCCTCTCAGAAAACCCAAAAACCTCAACCGTAAACCCTAAACCCCAAACCCTAAACCCGAAAAACATCTCAAGGGCCTACCTGAGACAGGCGAGCAGCAGTGAGGCTGAAGGAGCCGTCAGAGGAGGGCGAAGCTTGAGGGCCTTGCCGCGAGGCCGAGGCTTTAGGGTTTGGGGTTTGGGGTTTGGGGTTTAGGGGTTTAGGGCTTAGGGTTTAGGGTTTAGGGTGTAGGGTTTAGGGTTTTAGGGTTTAGGGTTTAGGGTTTTAGGGTTTAGGGTTTAGGGTTTTAGGGTTTTAGGGTTTTAGGGTTTAGGGTTCAGGGTTTTGGGCTTGGGGGAGAGGATTTGCAGAGCACAACCGAACAAAACATTCCAAAACCCCGTCAGAAACAGAAGGAACGTCGGTAGGGATAAGCGTCTTCCTACAGCCCTAGACCCTGAACCCTAAACCCTACACCCTAAACCCTAAATCCTAAACCCTAAACCGCACGGGATGACGAAGGGGAACTTCCGGTCATACCGAAGACCCCGAGGGAGACCTGTACCTTAAACCCTTGCTGCTTAAGGTCCAGGGACCTGACCTCAACGCAGCTTGGGGTGATACGCTTAATTTAAACCCCAAACCCTGAACCCTAAACCCCTAAACCCCTCAACCCTAAACCCTAAACCCAGAACCCCTAAACCCCTAAACCCGTAACCCTAAATCTAAACCTAGACCTTAAACCCCTAAACCACGAAACCGGAAACCCCTAAACCCCTAAACCCCGAAACCGCGAAACCCCTAAACCCCTGAACCCTAAACCCCTAAACCCGTAAACCCCTAGACCCCTAAACCCCTAAACCCCTAAAACCCCTAACCCCTAAACCCTAAACCCTAAATACTGAACCCTAACCCCTAAAGCATAAAGCCTAAACCCTTCCCGGACCTGCAGTGGTGCTCGGCCGGGGCGGCGCGATGTAGCCCCCGCCCACACTTGGCTGCTCCCAAGTCTCCGCCAGCTCTCCGATTGGCGTCTCCTTTTCGGGATCTATTTCAAGTAAGAAAATAGAATATACTACATTAATAATACATCTATACTATTAAGATAGAGAAATTATACAATAATACGTATATATATATATATATATATAAATACATATGTGTATGTATGTGTATATATATAGTATTTGTATTCTTGTATTCATACATTGACATGCTTTCTGAAGTACCCAGAACCTACTTTGCGGGCGTGTAGAGGCTGTTGTTCGGAAAAAATCCTTGAGAGCATGAGTACGCTGTAGGGCTTGGGCTTCTAGGAGGCTTCGTGGCTTAGAGTCTAGGGTTTTCGCGTGCGCGGGATGTTCTTCGGCGGGTCCCCCTCTCTCGTACCATTTGCGGAACTGGGTAGCCTGAGACATATCAGGTATAGGCTTCTTGGCATGGCTACTGTCTGGAATCCTATGGTATAGAACTCCCTCCTTCATCCTCAACCGACTACATTATGTGGTATGGATCCGGCCTCGGCAATTTTCAGGATGCAATGTGCCAGGTTAGGATTTAGGTCTGGGGACCTGTGCTGGTTCTTAGCTGGCGTTGGGGCAGCTTTCCCTGCGTCTGGCAAGATGCTCGGGAACAATACTCGGGTTTGGAACCCTAAACCCGGCCCCGAATACATGAAGCCATCCGCAAACTGGAGGCGCGAAGCTTAGACACCCATCACCACAGCATCAAGGCCGTTCAATCAGCCCATCTGCGTGCCAAAGAAGGCCAAAAACTGGTTGCTGGGGCGACGAGTAGTTTGGGTCGTCGGGGTTCTTTAGGCCGTTTAGGGTTCCAGGAGGGGCCCCAACAACCCCACCCTAAACCAACCACTAAGCCCCGCAGCATCTGGCTCCTGCACAGGCACATGTGCTCTTGTAGTCTCGGGGCGCCGGGTAGTCACAAACACACCCGGCGGGGAGGTTGCAGAAGCGATGTCGCCGGTAGGCAACTTGCCTGAGCTTTGAAAAAATTGGGGCCGCAGAGGCGGGTTTGGGGTTTAGGCTTTGCCTGAAGATACCTGCTTTCCTTCTAAAACCCTATAAAACCCTTTGATAAACTCCAAAGTACGCCTCGGGCTCTTCAGGGAGGGGTTTGGGACTTTGTGTCGCATTGACCTAAACGGCGCTCGAAGACGGCAAAACTCCAACATGTGACATCCGTAACCCCAGAAAGATCCTGAAACCCTAAACCCCGCATCCCCCGGCCCAAGAAATCCCCCGGCCCAAGAACACCCACCCTAAACCGCAAACCACTCTAAACCCTAAACCCTAGAACAGCCAGACTCCTACCCTGAACTCTAACCCTAGACCCGAAACCCTAAACCCCAAACCTCTCTCAAGTTAGACGCCCTGGGAGGCCACCAGCTCTGCCTGCTCTGGCCTCATGCAGGCGCAGAGGCAGCCTGTGGTGGCGAAGTAGGGCCCGCCCTCGCAGTAGAAGGCACAGGACCAGAAGTACGCCTCGCGGTTAGGGGTTTGGGGTTTAGGGTTTAGGGTTTGGGGTTCAGGGTTTAGGGTTTAGGGTTTAGGGTGTAGGGCTTGGGGTCCTTGGATGCCTTCCAGGATCTTCGACATGGAACTAAAGAGTTGGTGGCTCAAAAGGGGCTACTAGCCTGCTAGAACTGGCAGAACTTGTAGAAACCCCACCCCTCCCCTAAACCCTAAACCCTGAACCCTAAACCATAAACCCTAAACCCTAAACCCCGAACCCTAAACCCTAAACCCACCTCCGCATGGGACCTCTAAAGAAAAGCCCTACACACCCTAAACCCTAAACCCGAAACACTAAACCCTAAACACCCTAAACCCTAACCCCCCCACCTCCCCCCCACCTCCCCCCCCCCCCCCCCCCACCTCCCCCCCCCCCCCACCTCCCCCCCCCCCCCCCCCAAGTTGGGAGGCCTTACCCCCGGTCACGTCCACGTACCCAGGCCGGCATTGCGGCGCGACGGCGGCGGTGGAGTCGGGGACCGACCTCCAGAATTCGAGAACTCAGGCGGGGTTTATATAGGGTTTAGGGTTTAGGGTTTAGGGTTTAGGGTTTAGGGTTTAGGGTTTAGGGTTTAGGGTTTAGGGCTTAGGGCTTAGGGCTTAGGGCTTAGGGCTTAGGGTTTAGGGTTTATTGGAGGTTCAGAGGTGCTTAAGAAAGTAGGGTTCGAAGTATGGCAACTATCGTTATGACCTTACTTAGGGAACTTAGGCCCCAACTTGCAAGTAGGGTCGACGGGAAGGGTCTCCTGGCTCTGGGCCGTCAAATCGGCCCACGGGTGAGTGGCTTCTTTTCACTAGGTAGGGGGCTAAGTTTCGGTTTAGGCTGCTCGTTTTCAGCTTTCAGCATTCCGATTTTTGCCCATTGCTTTTGACCAAGGACTCGGGAGCACTTCTCAGCTAGAGGAGGGGTGCTTTTAGGATTTGCGGGGTTTAGGGCTGGTGGTAAAGCATATCCGAAGAGAATTCTTATCGACCCAAGTCCTATACAGTTCTGGTCATAACTAGGGGGCCCCTGCCGTCAAGGTGCGCGGGGCGGGGGGGGGGGGGTAGAGAGGAGGCTAGGGTTTGGGGGCTTAAAGGCTTCCTTGAACCGAGCGACTTTGGGACAGTTGAGCTCTGCAACTGCCGCTCCAGACCGCCACGCAGGGAAGGGCCGGACAGGGAAGAGGCGGCGCCACACGCGCCCAGGAGCGCCAACAGGAGGAGCGACATGGGCGGTCTGCCCTTTCTGTTCCGCTCTTCGGAGCAATCTGGGACGTCTGCCCAGTTCCGCGGAAAGCCACGCCGAAATCGGTCTTGAGCCAACACATACGACATACGAAAAAGCACAGATGTGGGAGGTTCCCTAACTCAGGCTTCCTTTTTGGGCTCCTATGACAGTAGGGAGCCTCATATTTATATAAAGGATACCCCCCAATTTGGAGAATCCCCCCCCCCCCATATTGCTGTAGATGCTGTAGATAACGCTGGGCTCAGCTTTTTCAAGGCCGCCACGAGTCGGCTCAAACCCTTTAAGCCCATAAACCCTCCAAATCCTGCCCGTCAGCACTTTCAGGGGTATGAGGAGGGAGGTATATACACCTTTTTGGATCCCTTTTCTAAGGTCCCTTAAGCCCTGGAGCCCTGAAACCCCTAAGACCCGAAAGCGCGCTGCCGTCTGCAGGGAGTCGAGAGGTTCAGGGTTTAGGGTCTCGGCGCCCCTTTTGTCTTTGAAAAGCCAACTACATGCATGCGTTGCCAAGCCAGAAATCCTCATCACTCCCCTGAAGGCCCAAACCCCCAAAAAATCCTGCCAGCTTCGGCTTTTGTCCAACAAAAGACTTCTAATGTGCCGAGCGGCTAAGGTGAGATAGCACTTGGCATTGACCTCGTAAAGGAGCTTGGCTCAGTGTTTGAGGAACTTAGGCGTGCGTCACAATAATGACCTTCCCATAGCAGGATCATCCGCAGAACGAGCCGGACTTGCGGCAGAGCTCGTCTCCCACAATGAGAGCTGCGTTACTTCTCCTCCCAACCTCCACTTCAAAAAGGCCTCGAATTAGACGGTTTTACCATGGATCCTGCTTGCCCCGCAGAGGACCCAAACATGTGCACTGCCCTGCCCTTCGTCCTGCCCTTCGTTCTGCCCTTCGTCCTGCCCTTCGCAAATTTAGGGTTTGGAGCTTAGGGTTAGGGTTTAGGGTTGGTAGGTTGCTCAGCGCTAAACCATAAGCAAACCTGGGCCTTAAAAGCCCCAAGCCCCATACAGCCCTAAACCCCAACGAAACCTTGCGGAACCTTGAATCCGAATCACGCCCCATGCAACCCCAAGCCCTATGAAAAACAGAACAACCTACGAAAACCACCCTAAACCCCAAACACCAAACCCCAAACCCTAAGCCCTGTTCTTCCCTAAACCCTGAAAAGTCCTAACCTAAAACCCACGATGCAAAACCCCAAACACTTGCTTACCCAGCCAAAAACTGGCCCTGAACCCTAAAGCCCAAACTGAACTTCTAAAGACTAGTTGAGCCCCAAAAAGAAACAAAACCTGAATTAACCCTTCAAAGCGATTAACTAAGTTACAAGCCCGAAGACAAATACTGAACATCGCAAAAAAATCTACACCTGCCCAACACCCTTAAACTCTAAGCCCCAAACCCTAAACCCCCAAATCCTAAACCCTAAACAAACTGGGAGGGTGCGACCTGCGAGTCCGCGCGCTCGTCGAAGGTGTCGAGGTCGAGGTCCGTGATGGCAGGCACGACCATCCGGCGCGGGTTGAGCCCTTGGGTCTTCAGGTTTAGGGTTTAGGGTTTAGGGTTTGGGGTTTAGGGGTGTTGGGGTTTGGGGGTTTAGGGGTTTGGGGGTTTAGGGTTTAGGGTTTAAGGTTTAGGGTGTGGGGTTTAGGGTTTAGGTCTTAAGGCATGAGGCTTTCGGGCTCTGGGGGTTCTATCGAACCTCCTCGTGCCAAATAGAAGAGAGATGCTTCCAGAATTGGATTTGCGTGGATTTTGAGTAGGAATATTGTTCGATTCCTTTCCGAGAAGAATTGCTCGAATACAGCAGGAAGAGATTGTGGCGGGTGAAGAGGGAAGCCATGGACGCCATGCAAATGGTTTATTCAAGTCGACTTCCAAAATAAGATATGGGGACGAAGGGATGAAGACTTAGGGTAAAACACAATCATGATTCATAGCGAACCATTAACTGGTTGAGATATTCGAATTCATGAGATCTCATCGATATCCTGCCAGAATGAACTGATACGTCAGACATCTACGCCCATGTACTTCAAAGACCATAATTCACATGAGCCATAACGATACGGCAGAAACATCCACGAAGACGGCTACATTCTTTCGACGCGGTCCTTCACCCTTACCCCGCTCTCGCCCGCAGTCGCAAAGAGCCAGAGTGGCGCCGCGGGACTTGGGAACCCGGGCGTAGGTTTCCGCCGCAACCGCCCTTCTTTTGCTAAGGTACAATCCTGCGAGCTGAGCGACAACATCTCCTACTAGACTCACTAAGCCCTCTATTGAAAGATGCGGAAACCCGAAACCCTGAACCCTAAACCCTAGGCCTCCTTCGGGCTAGGCCCCAAAACCCCAAACCCCAAACCCTAAACCCTTCACCCTAAACCTAAACCCTAAACCCTAAACCCGAAACACAGGGCGGATGTTGCTGCTGCGGCTCGCACTTGGGCCAGGATTTCCTCTCTTGGCTTTTAAGGTTTGGGGGGGGCTTCGGGTTTAGGGTTTGGGGTTTAGGGTTTAGGGTTTGGGGTTTAGGGTTTGGGGTTTAGGGTTTAGGGTTTAGGCTTGAGGCTTTAGTTGAAGGCTTCGGGTTTGGGGGTTTGAGGGTTCAGGGTGTACGGTGCGAACCCAAACTGTTGAGGGCTTCGAGTTCAGTGCTTCGGGCCGTTTGGCTTCAGGAGGCCCTCAAGGGCTCTATCGGAAGTCTGCGTTTCTGTCTTTCAGGAATTTCAGGGTAGTTGGAGGCTCGAGGAAAAAGGTGATTTGCCGATGTTTTCGTTTCTGAGGGTCCGGGTTACAGTGTTTAGAGGAATGGTTGGGGCGGATGTTGTGCAGGTTGTTTTTTCGGCTTACCCTAAACCCTAAACCCTAAACCCTAAACCCTAAACCCGAAACCCTAAACCCTAAACCCTAAACCCTAAACCCCACACCTAAACTGTTTTGGCATCCCCCAAGCCTGGTACCAGTTGGGTTGCGGCGCGCAGTGGCAGTCGATGAAGGCGATGACGTCGCCACGGGCCTCTCCGCCCCAAGACACTCCCAAGCCCCAAAATCCCGAAGGCTTGGGTTTAGGGTTGAGGGTTTAGGGTTTACGGTTTAGGGTTTAGGGTTTGGGGTTTGGGGTTTAGGGTTTAGGGTTTAGGGTTTGGGGTTTGGGGTTTGGGGCTTGGGGTTTAGTTTAGGGTTTAGGATTTGTGGGTTTGGGGCTCACGGACTCCTGGCGAAAAGGGGCAGCTTAGCACATGCCGTACTCGCCTGGCCCTCGGGCTGTTCTACTCATGCTCCTGAAGCCTACCCGCGCGTGGATCAGCTCCGACCTGCTATGAAACGGAGCTGGCGTGCTGGTGTGCTTCTGGGATGGGCGGGCGGAGCTGGTCATTCCGGGCCGAATCGCAGCCACGAGGCCGTGTGCTCACAGGACGTTCCTGTCGCACGCACTGCGACTGGATGAACACGGTGGACACAAGGGCAAACGCCGCCATTAAAAGGGTTTAGGGTTTTCTGTTTGGGGGTTTGGATGATAGGGTTTTGGGTCTCCCATGATGTAGGAAAAGAGGATACCCTAAGCCCTGGATCCCAAACCCGCGGTGGCCACCCTTCCCTTTGGAGTCCCCTGAACCCTAAACACTGAACCCTGAACCCTACACCCTACACCCTACACCCTAAACCCTAAACCCTAAACCCTAAACCCTAAACCCTAAACCCTAAACCCTAAACCCTAAACCCTAAACCCTAACCCTAAACCCTACACCCCCGAGGTCTTGCTTGCGCCTCCCGGCCCCCCGTGAGCTTCGCGGCCATGAGTCCAGTCGTCGTCTCCTGGTGAAAGCATCGGTTGGGACGACCCCATCAAGCCCTAAACCCTAAACCCTAAACCCTAAACCCTAAGCCCTAAGCCCTAAGGCAGGAGCCTAGGGCTCAGGGGGGTCCACATTGGGCTGAAGCAGCCATGGACTTGGGGTTCGGGGTTCAGGGTTTAGGAGTTTAAGGTTTGGGATTTAGGGTTTAGGGTTTAGGGTTTAGGGAGGGCTGAGGGCTGAGGGTTCAGCATCTCATGTTCTAGCTTTTACTAGTCAAGAAGCTTTGCAAGTGACGGGAAAACACCCACCCGCCCAAAGAATCCCATAACATTAAGAAAATATAGAGGTCACTTGTTCACATATAAGCCACAAGCTCCCACCGTAACCCTCCGCCCTGAACCCTAAACCCTAGCAGTTAGGAGTTAGGAGTTCGGAGATAGGACCCTAAACCCTAAACCCTAAGCCCTAAAGCCGAAACCCTAATCCCCCTAAACCCTAAACCTTAACCCTAAACCCTAAACCCTAACAGGAGTTAGGAGCTAGGAGTCTGCATGGCAGCCCAGGCGCATGGCGCAGGAATCGGACCTTTTGCTTGCACTGGGGGTCCTTGTGCCAGCGGCAGGCTACAAAATCCTAAGACCTAAACCCTAAACCCTAAATCCAAAAATGTCTCCAAAACCGGGTGGTGATTGCAGGGTTTGGGGTATGGGGTCTAGGGTTTAAGGGCGTAATGAGGGTGCTGAAGCTTGGCTGGAAGGATGGGCAAAAAGTCAGTTTAGTAGGGTCTAGGGAATTTGGGGTTGAAGGCCCTCTGTAACAAATGTTTCCCAAGGAAACATGAAGAAATCGCCACTTCCCCATAATGGGGTACTATTGGGGCTCGGCCAAAGAAATAGAACTCAAAGTCTTTATCTCCTCCCCCTGGCCGCTAAGCCCCGAAACCGCCCGACTTGAACCCACAACCCCTAACCCCAAACCTCCCCAAACCCCAGTGAGCCCCAAACCACCCAAAGCGTGAAACCCGAGACCCGACAAACAACCCCGAAACCCTAAACCCTAAACTCCTCAAGGGTCCTGGGCCCACTTCTCCTGGCTCTGCTCAAAGAGCTGCTCCAGCGGAGGGTTCGACCCATCATCGACCACAATAACCTCCTGAGGGAAGGTTAGGATTTAGGGT